ATCCTTTCTGATGCTCGGAGTGAAAATCCCACTCCCAGTTCATCCTTTCTGATGCTCGGAGTGAAAATCTCACTCCCAGTTCATCCTTTCTGATGCTCGGAGTGGAAATCCCACTCCCAGTTCATCCTTCTGGATTCTGGGGGTGGATATCCCACCTCGAGTTTCCTTTCGAGCTGTAGATAGAATATAAAATTCTTCCTCTTCAGCACCGGGAGACAGAATATAAAATTCTTCCTCTCCTATTTTGACACAACTTTCAACTTCCAATCCGCGCACTTGGTGCATGGGGAATTTTATCCCGAATCCTAAATAGGGATAAGTCAACACCTAACACGTGTTGCCGGGTAGCCTATTCCCGTAACAAGGGCAAAGTCTACGTATTCAAAGTCGTAGCATTAAGGGATAAGTCAACACCTAACACGTGTTGCCGGGTAACCTATTCCCGTAACAAGGGCAAAGTCTACGTATTCGAAGTCGTAGCATTAAGTCTAAGGGAGTTCATTCCTTTAGCACAACGTTACATGCGGAACGGATTTCGACAATCCGCATGCTAGCCCGATTCAAACGGTAATCGGTAAAGGCGTATCAAACCCGTTGAGGGTTGGGGGTTTGCCAAAAACCCCAAAGTCAACGCCTAACACGCGTTGCCGGGTAGTCTATTCCCGTAAGAAAGACGAAGTCTATGTATTCAAAGTCATAGCATCAAGTCTAAGAAAAGCAATTTTCTTAGCATAACGTTACGTGTGGAACGGATCTAGACAATCCACATGCTAGCCCGATTCAAACGGTGATCGGTAAAGGCACATCAAACCCGTTGATGGCTGGGGGTTTGCCAAAAAACCCATAAATCTGTCATTCGGAAGAAGTACAGAGAAATCACAAAAGAAGCAAATGCAGAGTTTCTATTGCAAGTCAAAAGCATACAACAAAGAGCTCATTAGCCCGAAGGCAACTGACGACTAAGAATATGAGACTTTAAGCTAAAAAGTCTATCTGCATAACTCTGCTCAAGTCCCGCCTGCAGATCTGCTCGGGCAGATTCCTCAGAACAGCTCAAGATCTCCGCAGCTTCACTCTTCAACTTCATCAATCCCTCCTGAGTGGATCCGAACTCCTCGAGTACCCGGTCACGAGAACGCTCTAGTCCGATCAAGTCATCTGCGATAAGAACGGCGGATTCCTCGGCACGCTTCAAGGCCTCCTTCAACCTAGTCGCTTCCTCGCGATTCGAGTCCAAGGAACGGAGTAACTCAGCTTTCTCCCTATCCATCCTCGCCATGTTAGCCATTAGATGCGCAAGGGAGCTCTCGCGTGACTGAAGCTCACGCCCGACGGAAGATCTCAGTTCACGCCACTGCTCCATCCTATGCTCTAACTCAGAGGATACGAAAGAAGAAGCCCCGGTAACCTCCAGTTCCTTCAACTCTCGTATCTCTGACTCCAGGGCAGCGAAATCAGCAGTGAAGGAATCAGCCAGTTCCGGGTATCCTTCTTCCCTCATCATCGTCATGTGGCGAGAGAAGGAACGCCGGAACTGATCGAAGCCGCCTCCTCGGTGGAGAAGCTTCTCAATCAAACCATTATACCAGGCGGTGAAGAAGCTGAGGTCCGTACGGAAAGCCTCTCCGTCAGGATCAGTATCGGCCAAAAGGCTACGGACACGCTCGTGCAAAGAAGATCGAGATCCTACAAGCAACAACTTGGAAACTCAGTGAACTATCGAATATGGAAAGGAAAGTCAAAAGGCAGGTTCCGAACATACCGACGCCAACGGATGTCCCATCAGGTTGAGAGCCGACAGGCTCCGAGACAGCAGCAGAAGAGGGTACGTCAGCCCCTGCAGACATATTGCTCGCACCACTCGGCAGAGACGGGGAGGCACCACTGCTATGAGGACTTTCAACCCCGGGGACTGTAGCAGTATCAGGCTGAACGCCTGGTCCTACAGTGACATTCCTATGTTAACCAAATGGAAATTTGGACAAATAAGGAGAATCGGGATAAGAAGGTCGTATGAATACCTGCAATCCCCATGTCCTCAGATGCAGCCGGAATGCCAAGAGTCATAAGAGTATCGGCCCAAGCTGCTGGTCCTATGATGACACTCTCTTATTAGTCAAAATGAAAATTTAGACGAATAAGAAGAATTGGGATCTGCATACCTGTAGATCCATTATCCGCGGGCATTTGAGGGATGTCAGGAGTCATATGAGAATCAGTCCTAGCGGCTGGTCCTATGATTGCACTCATTAGTCAAAAGACAGATAAACATAGGAAAGTACAATATCCCTGAATCGTATACATACCTGCAAGCCCGTCGCTCTGAGGCAAACTGGATATGCCAGGGATAGATACCGGGCTAACTCCAATGGTAGACGCTGCGATAATCAATCATTCATTAGTCATATGAAATATCGGGCAAGAGGGAGAAAATCAGATATATACCGGTAGATGAATCGTTCCCGAAGAATGGTCTCTCGGTCCCTCTGGAAGTCTGCTCAGCCAGCATGTCAGCTAATAAGCCGGCATCCGGCTTCGAGAAGCTTGGCCCCTCCATCGCAACATCTGCAGGGTAACCCAAATGTTGAAGGATGAGGAAAGCTCAAACGAGAAATCTTCCTTCACCTTACATAAGGAAAATGACATTGGATGCGGATATACCTGAATAAGGGATTGTGGGCTCAACATTATTTATCTGCTCAAGATCGATGTTAAGGTCGATGCCCAAAGACCCATCGTGAAAAGCGTCGCACATTTGTTGCACAAAGCAATCCATGTTGTCAACGCCAGGGGACGCCGAACCCGGTGGGAGTTCGCCCTCCTCGAAGAAACCTGAAGCACAAAACATGGTCACAAATCCCCAAAAGGTAAACAACCTTGAAGCAAGAGCAATTGAATGTTACCTCCCCCTCCATCGGCGGTGCTCCCTAAGTCCACTCCACAGGGACGCTGACCGTCATGGGACTTATGGGCAGTCTTCTTCCTCTTCGGGGCACCAACCCTCCGAGGACCATAGGGTCGAACATGCGCAGGCCTATCACACGTTTCAACGTGTGTAGGAGCTGAGGGCTCATGATCACCGGCTGTCCTACCTAAAATGACAATAGCCATTTCAATGAAAAAGAGCTGTCATTTATGGAAAATGAAAATTAAAAGAGATAGGACAAACCAGTATCGAAGTCCCCTCTGCCGGTATCCACGTCCGCATACTCGTCCTCGGAGTTCTCGTCATCATCACCCGCAGGGAGAAGTTCTTCTTCGTCTGAGACAAGAGATTTGGCATGCCCTTTTCTCCGCTTCTGAGCAAGCTCAGCTCTGCGACCAGCCATCATAGCAGCCCGGACCGCATACTCGGACTGCAACTCTGAGAGGCTCCTCGCGCTGATGGACTCATATGCAGAAAGGAACCACTTGCAGCTGAGGAAAGTGATCAATGGCTTACGCCGGTACGAAGGAAGAGCAAAACGGGCTCCAGTACAGCCCACCATCGTCCATAGCCACGCTCGAACGCCATCAATCAATCCTCCCTCAACCCGCAGGCTGCGGCTCGGATTCCCGACATACAGTTGGTCATAGCCGAATTGTCGAGCAAAGCGGCAAGGGAGATAAGGCTCTATGTGGCACTGGTTCTTCACCCGAAGGACGAGATAGCCTACACGGATGTTCACTAACCACCGGAAGCAACCAGCGTCAAGAACGGTCCGGTCACTTCTAGGTTTCTCCTCATCAACCAGCACGTCGCCATAGCGACCTGAAAAGTGAGGGAAACACTTAAAGAACTCCCAACTCTTGCGGACCCGGAGCTCTCGCTGAACATCACTAAATTTGCTCCCAAACCATCTGCTCTGCTCCAACAATTGCATGAAGGGGACAGGGATGTCAACAACGCTGGGGGCCGACATCAAGTCGGGACGGTGAAGAACGAGCCACGCCATCAAATATGCGTAAGGGAGCTCAACCTTTGGGCAAACCAGCTCAGCTGATGGTTCAGAACCCATATGTGTAAAACTGCTAACCAGACCCCTGAGCCCGCAATGGATACTAGCAACCATTGCTGGGAGCAGGGAAAGCTCTCTCCCATAAGCCAGCTGAACTGCAGGGAAGAGCACCTCGATGGGTAGAGCGTCAGAAGGTTGGTGCGGGACGACACACTTCTTCAACCAAAGGGCAAGGTAGCCTGCTAATAGCGCCCGGGACCCTATAGACCTCTGTGCGCGGCGGAGAAAAGAGCGAAACTTTGTCCCCGCGGGAAAAGCCCCCTCAGCACTGCCGATAGTGTAGGAACGAACCTCAGCCTTTTCCAACAACTCATTAACGGCCGAAGGAGTCATCACGTCTAATTCATGAATGGGCGCACTGGAATCACCTTCCAAGTTCTGGAACAAGTAGCTGGCAAACTGCTTCAAGCTGATCTGCCTCTTCCTTCTCGCTTGGGGAGAAGTTTGGATCAAGGAAGTGTAGTAGTGGCAAGTAAGATCCCAGAGTGTGTCATACATGTCCGGAGTATCTTTCTTCATACACTCCAGCTGCTGGTTCGTAGGGAAGTACTCCTGATACGGACAGTCCCCCATCGGAAGACCCGAAACATAATGCATCTCGTGCAAGGCCAACCCTAGCTCACCTCCGCTGGTCAGGAAGGTGTTGCTATCGGGCACATAAGTCTCCAGCAAAGCCAAGAAATGGCGACAGCTGACTGGGATGCCGTACATAGTAGCTCGTATGGGTGCATACAACCCACTGCTCTTCAGATCCCTCTCCCAGCGCGCCAAGACGAAACCAGTCATGCGCGCCCACCACCCTTTGGCTAGGGAGGAAGCCCAGCCATAACATCTGTACTCCGATGGGGGTAACTGTCTCCCAAGAAGAGCCAGACGGTTGCTCACAGTCGGAGCAGCAGCTGACACCTCGCCTGGGGGTGCAGTATCAAGACCCATGATCCCGGGTCGTAGACCACGCACGTCATGATACCCCTCAGAGCCAGGAGTCTTATGGTGAGTAGCATATCCGCATTGAACCCGATCAGCATCTTCAGTAAGATGCCAAGACATCTGCCGGTCCACGGCTTGCCCCTTCAAATGACTGAAAGAATAGTGGCGTGGAATCGAAGGGATGTACAAACAGGCTCCACCGTCAAGAGTTAACCAATGCTCCTCACAAAGAGTCAGCGTGGCAGGATCCCTGACATGATCTCCAAATAGAAAACCCGGCTTCTTTAGAACCTGAGTGGAAGTAGAATCAGGGGTGAAGGAGGCATCTGTGATAAGTTGGCGCAAGCAATGGCGCCCTCCTTCCTGTATCGAACGGCAAGAGTCATTTGGACGATCCCCGTCGAACCGAGGAAGTGGGCCAACAGCCTGCCTAAGAGTAGCGGAAGAGAAAACCTCCCGACTACATCCGGTGTTGGCGTGAGGAGGAAGGCTACCCGCGGGAAATTCCACTGCAATAAAGCACAAGGGCGGAATCAGAAAATCCATCTCGTAAGAAGAATGATAGACTCATCCACGGAATAATTGGAGAGACGATTTTGAGTGACCTACACCAGAAGGACGGCATGCGTCATCACGTGAATAACGTGGTAACGTACACCGACCTATAAGGTGTAGGACAACACAAAATCGCCCCAATATATCCGAAGACTTGAATTGGCTAAGCAAAACAAGTCTGAAACCTTACCCTCCGCGAGAGAGGTATCGGTTCTTCCTTCATGACCCGCAAAGAGGTCAATCAGGGATGTAAGACAAAATCTCTGCATAAATTCTCACCCCCGAAAAATGAAGCCGCGGGAGAGGATGTCGTGGGGACCTCCTCCTCACTATGCTGTGAACGAGAACGGCTCCTCCGGGGACGAGATCGACGCGGAGACATTGCAAATCTGCAACGAAAAGCAGCAAGTCAGGTACAATCTAAAACATGAATATACGAAATTTAAAAGGGAAATTAAGAACTTTAATTAAAATCCTATACACAAATAGGATTTCATAATTGAAGTCTAATTAAACCTACAAATTTCGTGCACGATGATTGTCATCTTTCACGGTGAATTTTGGTGAAATACCCAAAATACCCTTTGTGTTCAAGGCCAAAATCTAGGTCAAGGACACGCGTGACCCGGGTCATGATCGTCACATTCGATCATATAACACCCCGGTACCCCACAATTTTGGTTAAAATTTGCAAATGAGCCCTTTTGCAGAATTCAGCCAATTTTGCATAAAAGCCCCTCTACAAAATCTTGGTTTGGGCTCCACATGCCTTATCAAAATTTTGATCATGAGTTCGTGGTCAAAACTCATTGGATTTCAGCCATAAGTTCACTGCCTTTTGCAAATAAGTCCCTCTAAGACATTTATGGGCTGTTTTGCAAATAAACCCCTCCAACAACTTTTGGTCCTCTTGCCTAAAATACCCCTCAAGCTTGTGGCCAAATGAACATGTAATTTAGGTCCTAAACTTCAGTCCTCTATTACATGAACACCACCCCAATTCTTCGGCCACTTTTGCAAATAAGCCCCCAAAACTTTTCGGCCCCACATTTGCACATAAAACCCTCAATAAGGTATGGTCTTTTTGCATGAAACACCCATCCAAATTGTTACCAAAGGGGAATGAAATCCAAGCCTCAAAATTTCAGTCCCATTTTGCAAATAAACCCCCACGAATTTTGCAAATAAACCCCCCAAAGTTTCGGCCATTACCTCTTTTTGCACAAAACCCCCCGAAATAATAGTGCATACATGCCCCCTAGTCTACCACAAGAATAAAAATGCAACCTTTACCACAAAATAAGAGGATGGTGAAGAGGAGCTTACCCAAATCAAGAGGCTTGAAATCCCCAATCCAAGAGTCAAGATCCGAGCTTGAAGGTGGAGGGAGAAACCCTAGTGAAAAGTGAAAATTTTCGGCCAAGAAGGAGCATACAAAAAACCGAATTTCTTTGGGGTATGGAGCTCTTGAAAGAAAAACAATGGAGGAGGTTTGGAGGAAGAAGATGAATTCTCTTTTGAAAAGAGGGGGGAAAACAAAAGGGGAAACAAATTCAAACAAGAAAGAAAACAAAGAGGGGGGAAACAAAATGAAGAAAAAGACAAAAGGGGGGGGGTCCAGCAAACGTACGAGTATAAACTGTGTTAATGGCGATTCAAAACCCTAAGGGTCAATGCCGGTCAACGCATAACCCTAGGTCAACGCCGGTCAAAGCGTTGCGACAGAAGTCAACGTTTGACAATTCAAAACCCTAAGGGTCAATGCCGGTCAACGCATAACCCTAGGTCAACGCCGGTCAAAGCGTTGCGACAGAAGTCAACGTTTGACAATTTCAAAACCCTAAGGTCAATGCCGGTCAACGCATAACCCTAGGTCAACGCCGGTCAATGCGTTGCGACAAAAAGTCAACACACGGTGATCCAAAACCCTAAGCCAGCATAATGTGGCGGAGGTAGTTCAAAGTCAACTCAATGACACGAGCCAAACTCAATTCATCAGCT